TATGGCGAGAACGATTGTCGGCTGCCCGAGGTGGAGGCGGCTGGATGAGTGATGGAAGGTTGGGCACACAAGCTGCAGTTTTGGGTAGGTTGTTTCTTCCCCCATAGCTGCGGCCTGCAGTGTTCTCTGATCGTTTGCAGCCTTCAGAAGCGGTGTGGAGAACTGAGCGTTTGAGCCCCCACACCTCCATTATCCCGTTCATCCCTTTGTTCTGTCCTGAGGTTAGTGATTATACAGAGCCAGAAGACAATGCATAGCTTCGTAGCAGCTCGGCTGGCCTTTAATCGCCAGGCCATCCGACCCGGCGTAGCTGATGCTACTGCCGGCCATCTGGGACAGAAAGGAGCCAGAGGAGTGGTGTCTGCTGCCTGGCGAAGAGTTAATCGGCATAAGCAGTAACTAAAGTTAGACCACGACCTGTGTCTTCAGAGCCTGGGTTAGCCTGTCCAATTTTGTCCCTTCCGTTAACACGTCCTCCTGGCGTATGCTAAACCCACTACGAAGGAATTACAAGTCGGGTGCGTCCTGCCAAAAGTCCGGTGGAGTAAGGCCAAGGGCACTGATAGGAAATGGGCGTAAGTGCAAACCAGGAAACGACCCTTTACTTTGGTGCGCATGAATGGGACGTGCGAGGGTGGATTGTGAAGGCATAAAAGAGCAGAGCGCATCCGCATTCTGGGTTAGTACTTTGGCGCGTAGGGCGTGATCGATAGCACGGGCCCATGCTGAGATTTATGAGTCGTCTTGGTCCGAATATGATTTCAGTGTCAGAAGGCTTCTCGATTTCACCCGCACCCGCATGGAGAATGGCACAAGCAGGAGAAACAGCGTTCCTAACTAGGTGTGACACCTGAGACAAACAAAACGACGGTGTCGCTAATACCAGTAAACACCCACTTAAATATAAGTGAATAAGACGAACGTTGCAAAATTCATAGAAGGACCAAAAAGCTGTCTGAAAAACAACATCCTAGCTGCCCAAATCATCTCTGAAGTGTTCGGGTCGGACGAAGGAAGTAGCCGAATTCCAACTAAGATTTTTTGGGCAAATTGAATTATGCTCTTTCCCAACAGAGAGGAGAGGGTGACTTCCGTGTTCTGGAGTTTCTGAGTGCTCCCTCCCCCTGCATTTGCCTTCCTCAATTTTTAGTTTTCACTTTTATCCTCCTTCGTTTACTCACTCTCGTCCTTTTCTCTCACTATCCGCCCCCCTCCCCTTCCCCCAGCCCTCATCTTTGTGCACCTTGTTTGCCGTATCCTTTTTCTCTGCCATTCTTATTGTAGCATACTCTTACCGGGCGGCAATGAGTTCGAATAGTCATTTGTTTGAATGTGTGGTAATTTTTTCTCATTTGAGTTCCTCAATGCAATAAATGTGAGCATGTCAATTTTTTATAAAAACGAAAATTTCCGAAGGCGTCAAAAACCATTGTAACTGAGTGAGCTTAAGTTTTAAACGTACAGAAAGTCTGTTCATATGGAAAAAACGAGTAGATAAATCAGCGCAGGTGGAATTACTTTTAAAATAGCCCTTTAGTGGGGTTTGCTCTTAAATATCCTTCAAGAATACGTGCAGTGAAACGCATGGCCGTTAGTAAACAGGCTCCAGTTCAAGTATAGATTCCTACAGTATCTCCCGAAGATTTGCTGTTTTTCTTCAGTTTCTTTGTTGCTGGATGTGCGTTTGACGTCACAGGAATAAAAAAGTTCATAAAATCACATGTTAGCAGGCCAGTCAGCGAGTACTCAGTATAAATAGAATTGTCAGTTGCAATCGCTGATATACCTTTTTGTGTATATTAAAAGTACTTCTATTTTGTCAGGTTCTTTTATAGTTATTTCTAGTCTTGGATAACTACGAGTTTCAGATGTTGCTTTAAATACGGGTGAATACTTCCGATTTCCTGAGTTTTTAATCTATCAGGCGGAAATTTATATTCTGTTCTAGGGGTTTATGAAGAACTTAAATGATAAGACACAAAGCATTCATCGAAATAGAGTGTTTTTGAATATTCACGTTTATGCAGATGGCCGGATGCGTCATATCTGATGGTTCATCCAAACATGAAAATTCATCTCGGAGAAAAATAAACTACCACAACGAAATTTGGCAATGAATATGCTCTTGGTGGATGAAAAAGATCTCTTACAAATCATTTTTAATAATGCTTTAATAAGCTAGTTTTCTAAAGGATGTGCATTTACTTCACCTTTGTCCAAAGTATATTCAAGAAGAAATCGGAATGTTTGACCGATTTATCATTACACTGAAAAATACCGATCAGTTTTCTGTTGCATACTAAATATTTCAGTTTCCCCATTATATTTGAATCCTCTTTTGCTATCCGCGCTTATTTTAGGCCTCATTCCACCCATTAGAGTGGCTATATAAATAATAAAATATTTTTAAAATTATAAATGTTCTATCTTTTCCATATCCAAATTACGTATTAGCAGAAGTCAACCGTTCAAAAAGCCCCTCACCATTAATTCAAAAGTGAAAATAACCATTTGGTTATGGGCCGTTATGGAGTATTCGCAAATGGCTTAAAATATGGGCATGTTTTGCAAGAATGATTGCCCGTAAACTTTATTAGTGTTTTTGAACAGAGAAAGTGAAATACGCTTTATTGTGAAAATAGCATCTAAAGTTGTCAGCAAAAACGGCACCAGACATTGAAAATGTTAACTTTTAGAAGTTAATAAAACGTATGTTTTCTGAAAATCAGCCTACTTGTTCACAGTCTGCTTTACTTAAGTTACCCGGAACATAAAAACAATTTTCAAGTGTGGTAAGTTTTATTTGGTAAACCTCTACAATTTAGATTACTCTTCTCGGGCAAACTCAGCCTAGAACAGATACTAACATGGGGCATTGCCCAAACATCAGGCAAAGTTGATTTCCGCTCAACTCCTCCCAACATTTGCCCCATATAATTACTTAAAACATATTCGGCCTAGAGAGGAAATTTACTGGAACGAGTTGCGTGAATACGTAAAACGCTTAACATTTAAGGTGCCCAAAATTTTAATCTGCATCCCGGTCATCGTGTATTATTAGTTAGACGATCCTGTATTCCGTGTATTTCTGACACATCTCATCGGTAGTCGCGTCAAACTGG